TGTTTGACGTTTTGAACAACCGTGTATGTTGTTTAATTCTTGAGTTAAACGCTGTACAGACTGGAGAGTTATAACATGTTATAGCGGTTGTCAAATAATTGCAACACAGAAGCCACCATCAAGATAGCGCTATAACATGTTATAACCATAGAGGTAACTCTAAGACCACTGGGTCTCGAAGAAAATCATTATTATTTTGGCTCACTCAGTACCAGAACAACGGTCCCAAGCAGTCCCAAGCTATTTCACTCACCCCTGCATGTTCTGCATGAATCCACACACCCCTGATGTTATCTGTCAAACTTTCATAGCGAATCAAAACAAACATAGTGTAGTAATAGAATTTCAACTAGAATAGGGTACGTTAATCGTTTGCTTGGGACCAATAGGCTACTAAAGTGGTGAGCCAATTTAAAATCGTTAGTTTCGTATTGATTGTTGTTATAACTCTGTAGTCTGAACGTACTATTATGATCACTTGAATGCGTCCAAATTTACTTTGAATCGGGCTTTACGAAGCAAATCAAGTGAATAAAGGGTGTCCACGATGAAATTGCCACACACAAAATTGATTCGCAAAATTCGAGTTTTCATCCGATTACCATCAAATTTTCAGGGATTGAGAAATAACTATTAAACTTCATTTTACCATTTTACTCGTATTTTATTTACAGTCCATACGCAAATGCCCGCACCTTGGCCTTAACCCCGGCCATAAGATTCTGCACAACCTGTGAATCAACCGTTTTTTGCATGTAAACCCATACTTTCTTCAGTTCCTCGACTGTCTTCACTACCTTAGGTCGTTTAAGAAGGTGCTGCTTCATAATCGCCCAGTACTTCTCGATGGGGCGGAGCTCCGGAGTGTTGGGAGGGTTGAACAATTTCGGCACGAAATTGACCTTATTGTCCGCATACCACTTCAGCACGTCCTTGGAGTAGTGGCATGAGGCCAAATCCGGCCAGAAGATTGTTGGGACGTTGTGGGCCTTCAGGAGAGGAAGCAGCCGCTTCTGGAGGCACTCTTTTATGTACACCTGTCCGTTCATCGTGTCCTGGGTCACGAAAGGTGCACTCCGCTTCCCGCACGTGCAGATGGCTTGCCAAACCAGGAATTTCTTCGCAAATTTGGACATCTTCTGAGTGCGGACATGCTCCGGAACGCTGAACTTATCCTTGGCCGTGAAAAACAGGTTGCCGGGGATCTGTTTGAAGTCGGCCTTCACATATGTTTCGTCGTCCATGATGCAGCATTCAACTTTCGTCAGCATGTTGAGGTACAACTTCCTGGCACGGGTTTTGGCGGACTTGTTCTGCTTCTCGTCGCGATTAGGGGCCTTTTGTACCTTGAACGTTCGAAGCCCAACCTTAGTTTTGGCCTTCTGGACAAAACTTCGGCTTAGGTGCAGCTTCTTAGCCACATCCCTAACGGAGGCGTTCGGATTTCGGTTGAAGGCCCCAACTACGCGGTTGTGATTTTTGGTGTTGTACGGAATACTTTTTCCACAGACAAACAGACATAACACATTGAATATTTCTCACTGTAAAACATCGTCACTAAAACATTACCGCCATCTGTTGAGTACACTGTGGTGGGCACTACGCAGAACAGATGGCGGTAGTGTGTAAACGTCAAACGCAAGAGAATCGACTATGAGCGCCACAGGTGGCGGTGCTACCAACTACTATACTTTTAAATTGTCCGTTAAATGCATGTTCGATGAACGAATTTTGAGTGTTATGTCTGTTTGTCTGTGCTTTTTCCTTCACTTCTGGGCTTCCGATCGGTGGTCAACCGTTCCTCGAACCGCTTAATCACTCGCGACACCGTGGAATTCGCGATTCCCAACGTTTTAGCGATGGAACGATGCGAGATCCTTGTTCTCGTGATGAATGCGCAAGATTTTATCACGCACGAGCTGTTCTTTCGACTCCATTTCCGCGAGTTTTGATCACAGGACTTTAAAACTTGCAGGATGTAAATAATTCACTATGAACTAAATCCACCCAAATTTTAATTAAATTCTACCCAACGGTTAAAAAGTTAGAGCAATTTCATCGTGGACACCCTTTATTGTTTTAATACCTAAATTAGACTCGTTCAAGTATTTGATTCACAATTCTGATTGTGATATATTTGCACTCTGTGAAACTTGGCTTTCTTCTGAAGATGAACTAAACTTCCACGATTTTAACATTATCCGCCTGGACCGAGATGATTCATATGGTGGCGTACTTTTGGGGATCAAAAAGTGCTACTCCTTCTATAAAATCTCAATCCCAATAATTTCAGGCATTGAAATTGTCGCTTGCCAAATAAATGTGAAGAACAAAGATCTTTGCATAGCTTCTGTATATGTCCCTCCAAGGACTTCCATAAACCGCCGTCAGCTTTGGAGTTCAGTTAATATCCTTCCATCTCCAGTTCTAATACTGGGCGATATGAACTCACACGGTACTGGTTGGGGCGAATCATACGATGACAATAGAGCGGGTATTTTCTATGATTTGTGCGACGATTTCAACTTGACTATCTTGAACACTGGTGAAGCAACACGTATAGCAAACCCTCCTGCTCGAGAGAGCCGTCTTGACATTTCTTTGTGCTCTAACTCACTATCATTAGATTGTCTGTGGAAGGTTATCAATGATCCCCATGGTAGTGATCACTTGCCAATTATTATTTCAATTAAAAGTGGTCGTCTAAAAACAAATCAGTCAATTCAAGTTCCTTTTGACCTCACGAGGAACATTGATTGGCAAAAATTTGTATCGGCGGTAACTCTTGGTATTGATTCTACCGATCCTCTACCACCACTGGAAGAGTATCGTTTCTTTACCGAGCTAATCTACAAAAGCGCATTAGAAGCTCAGAAACGACGTGTTCCAAGTGCATCCCTCAAAAGAAGACCCGCCACCCCTGGATGGGATGACGAATGCACAAAGTTGTATCTTGAGAAATCCGATGTCTTTAAAGATTATCGTAGACATGAAAGATCTGAGCTTTTTGAAAAGTATCTTAAGCTTGAAAAAAAGCTTCAAAACTTACTAAAAGCAAAGAAACGAAATTACTGGCGTACTTTTATCGAGGGACTTTCTAGAGAAACCTCGATGACAACGCTTTGGAAAAAGGCTCGCTATATGCGAAACCGCTCATCTTCCAATGAGAGTGAAGAATACTCCTCACAATGGATATTCGACTTCGCTAAAAAGGTTTGTCCAGATTCTGTTCCAGCACAACCAACTTTACGGGATACAGCCCGAAGTAACGGTTCTCTGCACAATGCTGGAATTTTCAATGGCACTTCTTTCATCGAATAACTCTGCTCCGGGAAGCGATATGACCAAAATCGACCTTCTAAAAAACCTCCCCGATATCGCTAAAAGACGATTACTTAACCTATATAATTCATTTATGGAATTAAATACAGTTCCACCAGCATGAAGACAGGTTAAAGTAATAGCTATTCAAAAGCCTGGGAAACCAGCGTCCGATCACAATTCTTACCGTCCGATCTCTATGTTATCATGCCTGAGGAAATTATTAGAAAAAATGATCCTATTAAGACTTGACCATTGGGTTGAATCAAACAATCTACTTTCAAATACGCAATTTGGTTTCCGGAAGAGTAAAGGAACAAACGATTGTCTAGCGATGCTTTCATCTGATATTCAACTGGCCTTTGCGCACAAGGAGCAATTGGCTTCAGTCTTTTTGGATATTAAGGGCGCATTTGATTCGGTTTCCATAGACATACTGTCAGACAATTTGCACAGCAGTGGATTACCCGGTATTTTGAATAATTTCTTGTATAATTTGCTGTCAGAAAAAGAAATGACCTTCAATCTAGGTCAACTGACAACTTCTAGAATTAGCTACATGGGCTTACCCCAAGGTTCTTGTTTAAGTCCCTTACTTTATAATTTCTATGTCAAAGATATTGATAACTACTTAGATAATCAATGCACGCTTAGACAGCTTGCAGATGATGCCGTGGTTTCCATGAGAGGTCCACGTGCAGAAATCTTGCAAAGACCATTGCAAAATTCCCTAAATAATCTGTCTCTTTGGGCAAGAAATTTAGGGGTCGAGTTTTCACCGCAAAAAACTGAATTGGTAGTGTTGTATACAAGGAAGCGGTTTCCAGCCCAACTGCGTTTAAATCTTTTGGGCAGAGACTGTTGAGTACGCCCCTGGCGCAGATGCGCACCTTCCCATCCAAGACACCTTGCCTACACAAACATCAACGCACCCAGGTATAGTACGCACCTTCTCTCCAGAGACGTTGGGCAAACGTCACGGATAAACAATTGATAGTAGGCAAACGCCAAAAAACATAAAACAACAATTTAACGTGCGGCATCAATGAGTTTGCGGTCTAAATTTAGTTAGTTTTTTCCATTGAAAGTTCAAGTCATTAAATTAAATTACTAGTGTAAAATCAGCTAGGTATAATTCTATTTCTAAAATTCGTTAAAATTATTATTTACAATTAATACCTTTTCCATAGTGTTTGATAAAAACTAGTGAACTTATCATAACCTAAAATCTACTTACATCCTAAACCTACAGTGAAGGTAAAATTTATAATCTAAAATACTAAGTAAATACTTAAATCTAGATTGCTTTAGTACGGTTTATAGGATTCAGTACGGATAAATTGTTTGCTAGATTGCCTGTTACGACGGCCACCGACAAAACGAGACGATCTCGTGCGACCCGTAATTTCGATCGCTTGCAAGTGTAGCACAACGGGACTAAACGTAAGTTACAAAAGAAAATTACTAATGGACTAATATTAAGATGCAAACATGTTCACTAACGTTACATCCTTCCTGAACCTTTTTCCAGGAATATAATAATATAATTAATGAACGTAAATCCCACGTCTTCGGTAGTTCTAATATTATTGTATTGAAAATCTCCCTGCGTAAGTTGGCAAATTCCCAACATCTTATTATATTCGTTTATTGGCGAATAAACACGGTCAAATACGGTCATGTCGAGTCGCGGTCGGTCAAATAAAGGCAGTAACGAAGGTAATGAACGTGGTACAATTAGTGGTGTGCAAGTGGTGGTCACCAACGAAACGGTCGAACCGGAGGCATCATTTCCAGGCCAGTCATGCAGAGTTTGCCGTGGAAAGGACACCGATGAAATGGTGAGGTGTGATCAGTGTCTGAAATGGTTTCATTTTAACTGCGTAGGAGTTAGCCAAGACATTGAGAACAAGCCATGGAAGTGTCTAAACTGTGTTAAGTTGCAACTAGTACCAGATACCCTTTCATCTGCAAGCAACACACTTTCTGTGCTGGGTGGTGCAAGAAAGAAGAAACCAGTGGAAACAGATGGCGATCCTGTTGCAGATCCTCTTCAGCACAACGACTCCAAGAAGAAACATCAGTCTAAGGAGGGCAACGTGAAAGCGAAGTCAATGGTAACTCATGCGTCAAGCCAAGCGTCTAGCAGAGCATCACAAACTCTCGCCAAGCTAAAGCTACAGAAGCTGGAGGAGGAAAGGACCCTGAACGAGAAAAAGTTGGAGCAGGAACAAATCTATCTGGAGGAAAAGTACAAACTACTGGAGGAGATGGCTAGCGAAGCTGGTTCGAACGCGAGTAGCGTGTCGGACGTCGTAAGAAACTGGCTCCCACAAGCGCAATCAAGTCATCACTCACAATCGGAAAATCAACCGTTGGCAGTTCACCCCCTCGATGATTCCCCTAGAACCAATAATGGCAACCATCAACCCAGACCATTCGCCGATGGACAACCGGAACGTGAAGAAGATCGCTTCTCGCTAACAAGGAAACAATTAGCGGCGCGACAGGCTATTTCCAAGGATCTGCCCCAGTTTTCCGGCAACCCTGAGGATTGGCCTCTATTCATCGCGACGTTCAACAACACAACGGCCATGTGTGGCTTCACTAACGACGAGAACATCTTTCGACTGCAGAAAAGCCTGAGAGGACGAGCCTTTGAAGTGGTGAAGAGCCGGTTGGTACACCCTGCCAATGTTCCTGGTGTGTTGAAGACGCTGAAAATGATGTTCGGTCAGCCAGAAGCCATCGTTCAAACGCTCATCGAGAAAATTCACTCCCTGCCGGCCATAAGAGAGGATAGGCTAGAAACTCTAGTGGATTTCGCTGTAAATGTGGAGAACTTCTGCGCGACCGTAGACGCCTGTGGCTTGGAAGAATACCTGTATAACACGACCCTCCTACATCAGCTTGTGAGCAAGCTACCTCCAACAATCAAGCTGAACTGGGCGCAGTACAGGATTTCACTGCCGGGAGTCAACTTAGCATCTTTTAGTTCCTGGATCTATTCCCTCGCGGAGGCCGCTAGCATAGTGACTATTCCAAGCATCACGAGCTCCAAGCCAGTAAGGAATGACAGAAGTGGAACAAAGAAAGGAAGTGGCTTCGTGAATACTCACTCGGAAATCACTGCAGAACCTCCAAGTGGGAAGAATTCCAGTGCTAGTAACGAGTGCCCCGTCTGTAAAGGAGCTTGCAAAGCGATTGACAAGTGCAAGCGCTTTCTTGAATTCTCTCGCGACTCACGTTGGGCTATAGTGCGCGAATATTCACTGTGTCGCCGTTGCCTCTGCCGTCACAATGGAGTGTGTCAGGCCAAACTCTGCGGAAAAAATGGATGTCAGTTCAAGCATCATACTCTCCTGCACAACGACCATTATCAACAATCGTCGCCAGCTACATCAGCGACGTCGCCATCTTCAACAACAGCACCCTCGACGAGTGGCAGTACGGAACATCCCAAAACAGGAACTAGTTCAACAGCGCACGGTTGCCACACGCATCAAACCAAATCAAGCGACATACTGTTCCGTTATATTCCGGTAGTTCTGTACGGAAAACGTGGATCGATCCGAACACACGCATTCCTCGACGACGGCTCCGATCTTACATTGCTGGACGAAGAGTTAGCTGACGAACTAAAGCTGGATGGAGAAGTCAGGTCGCTTTGCCTACACTGGACCGGCGGCACGCAGCGTCAAGAAGTGAAGTCAAGGGTCGTCGAACTGGAAGTAGCCGGTGTACACAGCGGAGCCAAAAGTTTCACCATCAGTGGTGCACGAACAGTAAACGAACTTCTGCTTCCGTACCAGACGATGGACATCGAGGAACTATCATCTTTGTACCCGCATCTGCAAGGGCTTCCGATCGACTCATACCACGGTGTTCGGCCACGGATCCTGATTGGACTTAAGAACCAGCATCTCAGCCTTCCTCTCAAGTGCCGCGAAGGCAATCTAAGCGATCCCATCGCCATTAAGACTCGTTTAGGCTGGACAGTGTGCGGTGGATGCATGGCAGAACCTGCAATCAGCCCGGTGCACTCCGTCTACCACATCGGTTCTTGCGAGGACCAACACAGTTCAGATGAGGATCTACACCAAGTCCTCAAAGATTACTTTGCGCTGGATAGCTTGGGGATTATGAAGCCACAACACGCACCTATCTCCGTCGAGGATCAACGAGCACATTCTCTTCTCAATTCGCTCACGAGGTTCACAGGGGAACGCTACGAAACTGGCCTACTTTGGCGTTACGACACAGTACGTCTACCGGACAGCCGAGAGATGGCTCTACGACGTTTCCAATGTCTAGAAAAGCGTATGCAGAAGAATGAAACACTCACCAAAACGTTGAAGGAGAAAATGGTGGACTATCTGAGCAAAGGCTACATACGGAAACTATCTGATGAAGAGTTGAGCCAATCGTTTCAGCGTGTTTGGTATCTTCCAGTGTTCCCGGTGACAAATCCAAACAAGCCGGGAAAGGTGAGGATCGTGTGGGATGCAGCAGCCAAAGCATTCGGAGTATCACTGAACTCTGTGTTGCTGAAGGGCCCCGATCATCTTTCATCACTATTTACTGTGCTGATCCGCTTCTGCGAGCATCCTGTAGCTCTGACAGGCGACATACGTGAAATGTTCCACCAAGTGTTAATTCGGGATGAAGACCAGCAGAGTTTGCGGTTCTTCTGGAGAGATGAGGATGGACAGATAGCAATATACGTAATGTGCGTCATGACATTCGGTGCTTGCTGCTCTCCTAGCAGCGCCCAGTACGTGATGAACTTGAATGCTGCACGCTTCGATCAGGAATATCCAGCTGCTGTGGAGGTAATTAAGAAGCAGCACTACGTAGACGACATGTTGGTGAGCGTAGACACCGAAGAAGAGGCCATCAAGCTCGCTCAAGATGTAAAGTTCGTACACTCGGAGGGTGGGTTCGAAATCCGTAATTGGACCAGTAATTCTCTGCGCGTCCTAGAAGCCTTACGTGGAAGCAACGCTGAGGAGAAGAACTTGGACCTCTCACCAGAAATGGCAACCGAAAAGGTGCTCGGGATGTGGTGGTGTACATCGGCAGATGTCTTCACCTTCAAAGTCGGTTGGGACCGCTACGATCGCGACCTGTGGGAAGGCCGCCGTCAGCCTACGAAACGGGAGGTTCTACGGGTCCTCATGAGGATATTCGATCCCCTTGGACTCATTGCGCCGTTCCTAATGTTCCTCAAGATCCTGCTACAGGAAATCTGGCGAAGCGGCATCCAGTGGGATGACAAGATCGACGGCAATGCCTTCGCCAAATGGTGCAATTGGCTGCAAGTCCTGCCCCAAGTTGAACAAGTCCGAGTAGCACGATGTTTCCGCTCTCATCTTCTTCCCGGATACCATGATGTTCAACTGCACACGTTTGTAGATGCGAGTGAGAACGGTATGGCTGCCGCATGCTTCCTGCGCTTCGATCAGGCTGGAACTGTCCGATGCTGCTTAATTGCCGCCAAAACAAGAGTTGCCCCCTTGCGATATCATTCGATTCCACGGCTCGAGCTCATGGCAGCAGTTATTGGTACAAGGCTCTCCCAAACGGTCCTCAGCTCCCTGTCCTTCAACGTGAGCAAGCGATTCTATCACTCGGATTCCAGGGATGTGATTTGCTGGCTGTATTCGGACCATCGTCGCTACACACCATTCGTTGCCTGTCGAGTCGGTGAGATCTTGGAGTCAACAGAACCGAACCAATGGCGTTGGGTTCCAACCAAGTTAAACGTCGCAGATGATGGCACGAAATGGGAGAAATTCCCGGACATGACTCCAGAATCCAGGTGGTTCATCGGGCCAGATTTCCTGCGGGAACCGGAAGAAGCATGGCCATGTCAAATAGCGAAAGGAAGCAAGACAGACACTGAACTTCGTCCCTGTCTGCTAACCCATTTCACCGTGCCAGATCCACCGATCAACGTTTCCAGCTGGAAGCGGATGGTCAAAGTAGCTGCCTTTGTGCATCGTTTTGCGGCAAATTGTCGCCTAAAGAAGCAAAAGAAACCTGTTCATTGTGGTCCACCTTCCGCAGAGGAACTGCAGATCGCCGAGCGCTACGTGATACGCCAAGCCCAACGAGAAGCCTACCCGGACGAAGCAGCTATTCTGAAATCGGTGAACGGATCGCCGAAGCCCATTCCCAAGACCAGCCCGTTGTTTAAACTGACACCCTGGCTGGACGACCACGGACTGATGAGGATGCGGGGAAGAATTAGTGCCTGTACGCTAGCCACCGAAGATGCTAAAAACCCGATTATCCTCCCACGTGACCACCACACTACCAATCTTATTATTGCACACTATCACACTAAGTACCACCACCAAAACCATGAGACCGCTATAAATGAGCTCCGACAGAGGTATTGTATACCTCGACTACGAGCGACCTACGCAAAAGTACGCTACAACTGCCAACACTGCAAAAATCATCGCGCAACCCCACAGCCTCCAATAATGGCCGATCTTCCTCTAGAGCGACTTGATGCCTTTGCTCGACCCTTCACCCATATTGGCGTTGACTATTTTGGACCAATCGAAGTCGTCGTAGGTCGTCGAGTGGAGAAACGGTGGGGAATGTTGGTCACATGCCTGACCACTCGTGCGATCCACATCGAAGTAGTACACACTTTGAGTACCGCCTCCTGCATCATGGGCCTCCGAAACTTTGCAGCACGCCGCGGAATGCCCAAGACGATCTATAGTGATCACGGTACCTGCTTCATTGGCGCGAACCGCGAATTGGGAGAGGCAGCAACGGCGATCAACCAGGACGAGGTGATGAAGGAGTTCAGCGGTACCGAGACCACCTGGAAGTTCATTCCCCCAGCGTCGCCGCACATGGGCGGCAGTTGGGAACGCCTTATCGGTATAGTGAAGCGGAACCTCATGGAAATCCGCCCCTTGCACAAGCCTAACGACGAAGTGCTACGAAACCTTCTAACCGAGATCGAATGCACTGTTAATTCTCGGCCGCTTACACATGTTCCGGTTGATGATGAATCTGCACCTGCTCTCACCCCGAATCACTTCCTCCTGGGGTCATCCGACGGAACGAAACCGATATGTACCCTCGATGACAGCGGAACAGCACTACGGCGGACCTGGCGAATGTCTCAGCAGCTAGCCAACCAGTTTTGGAAACGTTGGCTAAGTGACTACTTGCCGGAGATCACTCGACGAACGAGATGGTATGCGAACACGAAGCCGATAGCGATTGGCGATGTGGTGATCATCGTTGATCCGAAGCTGCCCCGGAACTGCTGGCCTAAAGGCAAGGTCATCGGAACTTACATCAACAAGAACGACAATCAGATCAGGGCGGCAACCGTAAGAACTGCGAACGGTGTGTTCGAGCGCCCTGTGGCCAAGCTGGCTATATTGGATGTACGGCGCGACGGACTGTAAGCCGATCAGAGGATCGGCGTACCCGGGAGGAGTGTTGAGTACGCCCCTGGCGCAGATGCGCACCTTCCCATCCAAGACACCTTGCCTACACAAACATCAACGCACCCAGGTATAGTACGCACCTTCTCTCCAGAGACGTTGGGCAAACGTCACGGATAAACAATTGATAGTAGGCAAACGCCAAAAAACATAAAACAACAATTTAACGTGCGGCATCAATGAGTTTGCGGTCTAAATTTAGTTAGTTTTTTCCATTGAAAGTTCAAGTCATTAAATTAAATTACTAGTGTAAAATCAGCTAGGTATAATTCTATTTCTAAAATTCGTTAAAATTATTATTTACAATTAATACCTTTTCCATAGTGTTTGATAAAAACTAGTGAACTTATCATAACCTAAAATCTACTTACATCCTAAACCTACAGTGAAGGTAAAATTTATAATCTAAAATACTAAGTAAATACTTAAATCTAGATTGCTTTAGTACGGTTTATAGGATTCAGTACGGATAAATTGTTTGCTAGATTGCCTGTTACGACGGCCACCGACAAAACGAGACGATCTCGTGCGACCCGTAATTTCGATCGCTTGCAAGTGTAGCACAACGGGACTAAACGTAAGTTACAAAAGAAAATTACTAATGGACTAATATTAAGATGCAAACATGTTCACTAACGTTACATCCTTCCTGAACCTTTTTCCAGGAATATAATAATATAATTAATGAACGTAAATCCCACGTCTTCGGTAGTTCTAATATTATTGTATTGAAAATCTCCCTGCGTAAGTTGGCAAATTCCCAACAGAGACATTACCCAATCTTTAACCTTCAAATACCTTGGAGTCTGGTTTGATTCAAAATGCACTTGGGGTACCCACATTACGTATTTGAAACAAAAGTGTCAACAAAGGATCAACTTTCTACGATCAATTTCCGGGACATGGTGGGGTGCTCACCCGGAAGACCTCATTAAACTATATAAAACGACTATTCTTTCAGTTCTTGAGTATGGCTCTTTTTGCTTCCTCTCGGTAAGAAAAAGCCACTAATCAAATTGGAACGTATTCAATATCGTTGTTTACGTATTGCCCTTGGCTGTATGCATTCAACACACAATATGAGCCTAGAGGTCCTAGCGGGCGTAAAACCCCTGCAGAACCGTTTCTGGGAGCTCTCATTAAGAATATTGATTAAATGTAGTGTCAGTAACAACCTTGTGATTGAAAACTTCGAATAAATGCTCGAATTGAGCATCCAGTCTAGATTCGTGCGAATCTATCTTAATTATATGTCATCGGATATTAGCCTTCCTTGCTATAACCCCTCTCGTGTATGCTTTACTAACTACAGTTCCCCCATTGACTATGATCTCTCCATGAAACAGGCTATTCAAGGAGTTCCAGATCAACTTCGACCTATCTCAATTCCCCGCATTTTTGCTGAGAAGTACCAACAAGTCAACTGCAATAGAAGATTTTTTACTGATGGATCACGCATTGATGGATCCACTGGCTTGGGCGTCTTCAATGAATACTCAACCGCCTTTCGGAAACTTCAGGAACCTTGTTCCGTTTATGTTACTGAGCTAGCAGCAATCAACTGCGCATTGGGGATGATTTCCGACATGCCCACAGACTATTCCTTCATCTTCTCGGATAGTCTCAGTTCGATTGAGGCTATTCGGTCGATGAAACAAGGTAGGCACTCATCTTATTTCCTTTCAAAGGTAAGGGAGCAGATGAGTTTGCTGGTCGAAAGATCATATATAATTACCTTTGTATGGGTCCCCTCACATTGCTCAATCCCAGGCAGACTCTCTCGCAAAGGTGGGCGCACAACAAGGCGAGATTTATGATAGAAGAATTTCACATGATGAATTTTTCCCATTAGTACGTCAGAGTTCTCTTTTAAGTTGGCAAAACGATTGGACAAATAATTCTCTTGGGCGGTGGTTACATTCCATTATTCCAAATGTTTCTTCGAGAGCGTGGTTCAAAGGGCTGGATGTAAGTCGGGGATTCATTCGAGTGATGTCAAGACTTATGTCCAACCACTACTCGCTAGACGCACATCTCTATAGAATAAACCTCGTTGACAGCAATATATGTAGGTGCAGAACCGGTTATGATGACATCGATCACGCAGTTTGGTATTGCCCGGGTAATGACGCCTCCAGAGCACAACTATTGGATACCCTAGTGGCCCGAGGTAGACAACCCTTCCGTGAAGTAAGAGATGTATTGGGAACACGTGATCTTCCCTACATGCAAGCGATCTACGAATTCCTTTGTTTGTCTGATGTTAGAGTTTGATGTAACAACCCCGCCATTGCGTCCCAGTCTTATTATCCTCCTGTTCCTGTGCTACTTACCCCTGCCAAGTCAGGATTTGGTTAACCGTCCGAGAGTAGTATCTGAAGGAGGCTTCAGAAACCAGTTTCCTACCTAGATCCTTCCAATTGAAATTGTTACCCATTAACCTCGAGCCCGCCACGAGTAATTGGTACCCAATACTAACTAACTTAGAAATACTGCTATTTAAAATGTAAATCAAACATTACTGATTTTGGCTCCGCAAAGTGTCACACACGACTGAGCCTAATAAATAAACGAACTAGTTAAAAAAAAGTGAATATTGTACCAAAAACCGCAAATCCGCCAAATTGCCCAGAGATACGTCCAATCGAAAGATATTTTGCTCTGATGAAGCGGAAGCTTTCTGGAAAGAAACAAGGAATCAAAGATATCAAACACTTCCAACAAATTTTGACAAATAGGAGTCTGTACAAACCCTAATGGACTGTGTTAAGCGCAAAATTCGAAAATTTTATGCAAATACCGAATAACTATGTTTGGATTTCGTGAATTTTTAAATCATATCCCATGAATCTGAAATAAACAACTACAATTGAAATATAAATGCGAAATTTGTATTTTACTTAAGTTTAGATGTGTCCGGGTTATTGTGGATACAGACCTTAGATCAAAATTTCAGTCGCATTCTGTTTATGTAAAGAAACATTGGCCCTTTGCAGCACTGGATGTAAAATATAAAACTTCCAAGGAATTGTGATATCCAATCAAACATCTTATTACCTCTAGTTAGTTCAGTACACTATACATTTATATTCACTACACGAATTAAACAATCTTGTGTGCAAATCACACTTAGCTACATAAATCTCTGCCATGAAACGGTCCGTTAGGTTCGATAATAGGTCTAATATAATAGATTATCTCTCTTTTTTTTTTACATAATATGACAAAATGTTGTGATAATCAAAACAGTCAATGAAAATTCAAATTCGTTAAAAAAATGTTTAAAAATATCTTTCTTCTAGAAGAATTGGTGCGTGAATAGATGGATTAATAGATTTTCCACTACATGGTACACGCAAAATCTCCAATAATGACTACAAAAGTTTCAATATCGACTACAAACGTATACATTTTCGTGGGAAACTGAGGCTACCCATTAAATGAGTTAAAAAGTTACCCATTCATGTGTATTTGTTGCTCATAAATGAATACTTACTACTCATTTTTATAGTTGTAATTACTCATAAGTCCTAACGGGAAATGCTTACTTTGTAGTCGTTATTGGGTATTTTGCGGTTGCCGTGTACAAGATGTACCAGTTGGTGTGTGTTACTTTTCTGTGTGGCATAATCACCTAACCTGAATCGAGAAACACTTACTAGTTAAATTACAACATCGCTGAGCAACTATCACAAATTGTAGACTATTGTTTGATGCATTTTTCCCTCTATTTTATTTTGCTTGATTATTATAACACAAAATATGTATTCTTTTTACGTTTCTACGTAGGTACACCGAAAGAACCAAACGTATTGTATGCAGGGAGGGGAAAGATGGATTAACGAAAATGAACGATCTTACCCACAACACGCGTCGAACTGTTCGATCAATCGTTGGTAGTGAGTCGATTGTTGACTCACCAGTTCGAGGGGGACTTTTCCTTTGCAGTCACGGACCGTCGCAAGGCTGGGACTGTGCTGGAGCAAGCTTCGACACACCTCGGGATAGCACTTTTCGGCTGCCCTGTGGAGAGCAGTTTTTCCATCACTGTCCTGAACGAACGGATCCGTTTTTCGAGTTAGCAGGAGGTTGACAATTTCTAGGTGACCTAAAATGGAGACTGACATTGGTAGGATATGCAAAACTGGGTAATTGAACCGAGAGAACTTACCCATCATGGCGGCCCTGTGCAGTGCGGTCACTCCTCCGTGAGTTTGTTCGTCAACGCCAATGCCGGCATCCAGCAGTATCCGACAGATCGACAGATGGCCGCTGCGGGCTGCGTAGTGAAGGGCCGTATAGCCAGAATTATCCCTGTCGTGAAGGTGTCCCTTAGCGATCAACGATCGAAGCTTGTGTTCTTCGTTGTCAATTGCTGTAATGGGGAGAACAGTGAACTTGTATTACTTATGCGAAATTTGCAAGAAATCCTATGTCGATAATACCGGCAGTCCAAATGCCCCGCTCAAACTCCAGCTCGTCCAACGATTGCGACGCGGTGACCGTTTTACTACAGTTGCATTGATGTTGATCGCCGTGCTGCTGGTCGTGGTGCGGATGGTTCGATGGCATCCCGTTTTCGTGCTTTGACTCCGTTCGTCGTGGGCTTTCGAGCACGTACATATAGTAGGAATGAAGGATTGGATGGAAAATAGCAACAAGTACGATTAGGCGCGTGGTGAGGGCGAAACTGGATGCGAAAGGTTCACACTACACACTACACTCAGATGCACAACGTGTTACACAAGGCTACTTTTGTACAGAGAGATGGACTGTTATTGCGCGGGAGGCTCGTGGCCTTAACTTAGCTATGCCTAAATAGTGGTTTATGTAACAAGTTTTTGCGTGTTTCAAATAAAATTTTAGCTACAACAGGATCATTCATCTACAGCTCACGCTGCAGCGTCCACACGACTTCCGCATCGCCGGTGCTCGATACAACTTTGTACCCCAGCTGGGCCAGCGAGTTGATGATCAGCGAGGGGGCTACCTTGATGACCACCCCATTGTCGACGGGAATCGAGCTTATTTGGAAGCGTTTCGAGAGGGCCTGCACCTCGTCCGCCGAACAGCCAAATATGGAACTGTCACGGGCGTACAATGATCCCCTTACGAACACGTACGCATAGGTTCCCTCCGTCGGTAGGATCGGTATCGGCACCGTTACCAGGTTGTTCGTGAGCGAATGCTGATTCGTGGTCGAATTTGGCGATTCCATTTTTTTTGCGCAACAAAAAATGCTTGTTTTAAATGTACACAAACGTAACAGTTACTTTTTAGGGCGAAATTATGGTCACAAATAAAAAACTTTTGCAGATTGAAATAATAGCACTTGTCCGGCGCTGGGTTCAGCCGCTTTTCAAAACCTACTCCGGAACGTCAATCTTATTGCTTGGTGGATAGTTATTCACCTCACGGCCGCAGTTGGCCAGGTTATCCCGTTCGACGATGGCGGACGATGTTTCACTTACGAATGGTTCCGGATCGTGGAACTCCTTACGCATAGTCCACATATACTCGTTGTAGTCCTGCTTGACCGCCGTCGATGAGGAAGCGACAACGCGGTAACCAAGTACCTGGAAAGAAGGAAGATGAAAATTCGGGGTTCATTGGAGGTTGAGATGGCAGATTAACTTTAATGCAATATGTTTGGAACGACTTTCTTCGATTCAACAATGGTTTACTGAACAAGTTGGGACCGCGAAATGCACTACTTGGGCTCTGAAATACACCAAGTCAAGAACAAATTTTCATTATGTCGAAAGTAACATTTGCACCGATCCGAGAAAAATAAAGTTTTGTTTTGATGACCGAAAAGTTATTCCTATTTCCAATTAAACTCATATAATCTCATAGTGATAGCAATGTTTAACATATTCAGCAGGGTTTTAATCATACAAAGCAGATCGCTAGCTTTCATGCTAAAAAATACTGGTTACGTGGCCTCCTAATTTTGACAGTTCGGGTAAGATGGGATGTAAGATTTCTGGTGAGAGTGTCACATTCGATAAAAAAAAAACACTCATTGTGAAGTACATATATCACTACATGCATCTGCCGCAACGAATGCCTATCTCTATCTGCATTGATCGATTCTCTTAATCGACTTTCTCTTCCGTTAATAACTAAGCTGCAAAACCTTCCCTTTTGTATTTGACGTTTTGGACGCTAGATGAAAACCTCCTTTATCAAACAATATGGTAAAATAAGCGCGAAATGTTTGCATATCAGTGGTTGTAAAATGAGAAAGCCGATGAATTAAAACCGATCAAAGCAGATAGGACCATTTGAAATGTTCATCGAAATGACCACGTTGTTAAGGAGGCAGCCTACTTCCAGGAGAGAGTTGAAGATAAAGTAATGGATTTCTTCGAAAGTATGTTCCTTAAAAAATAATTGAAAATGAGCGAGTGCAATGGCAAACGGAACATCAAAAATAAAAATGTACACAAACCATATAGGGGTAGACGGGGGAGCAAGATGGTCAGCCTAAGGTTGAGCTTAAGTTTTGGCATTAATACAACTATTGTTTTGTTCAATATTGCTGCAGGGTTGTTGTTTGATATTCCCCCTAATTCTGCGAGTCACATGACTCTCTGTCACCGGTGAGGTGACAATTGTCACCTCGTGTGAGGTGACTCTCCGTGCAAATCAAATGGAGAGTCAACTCACACGAGGTGACTATTGTCACCTCACCGGTGAGAGAGAGTCACGTGACTCGCAGAATAGGGGGGATTATGTCTAGCTTTCTTATGGTAACTTTAGTTCCAAAACGTAAACAAAACATTGAAAAACATAACATAACAAAAACGACTTTTTTTGTTGAGTAAAATAACCCCGGGGCAAGAAGAGCACGTTATATATAGTTATAGAAGGCTTTTTTTATTTAATTGTAGATTTTATTTTAACTGAACATAGGTATTTTACAAAACACAGCAGACATTTTTCTTTAATAAAAAAATAATAATAGTGTTGTTAACGAGCAGCGAAAGTAGGTATTTATTATGGAAATCAAATCTGAATCCAACTTAGCAAATATTCAACATGAAGGACATTTTCCTTCTTCGCAAAGGTGATACCACTTATTGCAATTCGTACATTTATTCCAGTTTTCACCATCACTGGACATACTGAAATTGAGACCACATTTGTCGCACAGCGTATCGTGGAATTCAGGTTCAGTTTTTGGTCTCTTCGGTTCGGTTTTTGGTTTAGATGATTTTTGTTTGATTTTGTTGAGTTCCTTGATATCTCTGGCAGCTTGTGACGACTTCAATGTGCTCCGAAAGGAAGAAGAGGTGATTTTAGCTGCTTTTTCCTTTCTACTCTTCTTATTTTTACAGTTCCTTGATATCATTTTTGGAAGTGGCTTGATAATTGCAGGTGAAACTTGAAATGTACAGTTCTTGTTAATTGGCTCTGATGCAGTTACAGGCTTAGATTGCTCGTTTACAGTTGTCAATGGCTGTCGTGAAGAATTGGCGTGTTGGCTATTTGGCTCTGTTTCTTTACTGACCAAGCAGTCCATCCGCAACAATTTTCGGTTTTTTCTAGTTGTTTCATTTCTTCCGGCTCAAAGTCAAAGAACAGTTGTTCGTCGTGAAGCATATTGATGGTGATTGCGGGCATTGGAATATCGGATACATCGGATGCCGCAAAATCATCATTAGTGAAAATAAATCGATTCAGAGGTACTATTTCGGCCTTCCTAAAACCATTCATAGCGATTTCAGGTGTCAATAAATATAGAAACGCTTTACCAAGAAGACTACTTACATCGTTTATGGTCACTGCCTTTCCAGGATTTCCCTTTAGAAAAACCTCAATGGCCTTAGAAAAATGAGTTTTCAATGAGCCCATATAGCAAATATCGAGAGGCTGTAGCTTAACATGAGAGCAGTGCCCATCCAGTAGCAGTAGAACTGGGCATTCAGGTGTTGGTCGAGTGTGCAGCAGAAAATGATCAAACCACTTACAAAAATCATTTGTGGTCATCCATCCTGTTGCATTGCAGCTAAAAATGGTTCCGGTTGGTGCTCCTTTCTTCAATTGTTCTGTCATTCACATCCTTGGAAATATCAACATCGCAGGGACAAAGTCACCTCTTTTTGATGATGTGATGCTACCAACTTGCCGTTTCCCTCGAAGAGCGATAATTTTGCTTCTCTTCTTTTGAAGCTGTAATTTAGTTTGTCATGTTAGTCATGTATGTAAAAAGGAACCATGAATTCAAATGATAATAATGCTTACTGTTAGGACAGAGGTCTCATCAACATTGTATATTCGATTTTCCTTAAACTTCCCGGTACTGAGTGTTTCCTCCAAAATATCATAAAACTGGTGGACGGCCACTCGATTGAAACCCTGAGCTCGGGCAATCGATGTAGCTTTAGGTGTTCGCAACGAAAGCTCTTTGTGCCTCTTCCGGAAGCCACTTTACCAATCCGGTCCGGCTAGTTCGGTTTGTTTATTAAACGGATGCTGTATATGATTCCGCTCCGCCAGCTGGAATGCCAGGCTACGAAGCTCGATAGATGTTACTCCGTAGAACGTTTTCTCCAGTTGTAGAACATGATAAACCAGCTCATCTTCCTGTTCCTTGGTGAATACTGTGTCATACCGTCCATCCTTTTGCGTTCCAGTCGTCTTCAGGTAGCGTGCAAGAGTTTGGCGCGGGATACCGTGGTTAACGGCCGATCTGTTTACCGAACATCCTAATGCCCTCACTTCCTCAATTGCCGCCCGAAGATTGACACAATTCCACCGTTTCCGTCCCAAAATACGTTTATAACCATCTCAAAACGTGAAAGAATTCCGAAATCAAAACATTGCGCTTTGACGTTTGTTTTCTTAGAGGTTATGAATTGAAACGTACGCTGGCAGTCTTGCCCCGCAAAATTGAGCTCATTTCGCCCTATCTGATAGGATTTACTTTTATGCTTTAAATTTAACTATACGTTTAGTGAAAAGTATTTTTTTGTAACTACACTCTATGAGGATAAACTGTTTCTTGAAAAAAATATGTCAGTGAGTTGACAAAACAAGTTTGCTCTTACGGGGATATGAGATATTAAAAAAAATTCATCTACTTTCAGCGCCAGTTTTTGTCATGATATTTTGGTTGATATTTATGATATTTTGTTTCGAAAAGATTGCTAGTGCTCAATTGAACTCTTATTTATCATTAAACGTGTTTTTTTAAAAGCATTTTCATAATGGTTTCCATTAAGTGGTGCTCATCTTGCCCCGGGTGGCGATCTTGCCTCGTCTACCCCTAGGTTGAATATGGCCAAACCAACGGTATTAGTCAGGGTGTCTACTAACTGCAAAAACCTGGAAAACCGGGAATTCTCAGGAAATTTTATTTTTTCCTAAAAACCTGGAAATCTCAGAGAATTTAATAAATTTCTTACGAAGAATATACACAGCATTTTTTACAAGCATTTATTTTTCTCGTTATTTTCATTCACACTTTGAACTTTATAGATGCACAGTGGATTAATCTTCAGTAACAAATAAATTTAAAAACAAAAACAGAGACTTGAAATGTTTTTTTTTTTGGTTTTGGAACATGCATATTTCTAAGAAATTTGATACTATGATACTTCAAGAAATTTTCAAGAATCTGGAGTCAAATTCCATGCACAGCCTTCAATTGTGGAATTTTACTATAATTTCCAAGGACCTCATTCCAAGGGAGTTCTGGGGAGAAAAAAAAATTGGACAAAAACATCAAGTGCAATCTGCTTTCAAGGTAGTTCTGAGGAATTTTAGATTTCAATTGAAGCCTGATAGTTTTGAGTAGAGTTTCAAGAAACCCTGAATTGAATTAAAAGTAAATTTCAATGAAAACACTTAGGAATTTTTGAGCAGCACAACTCCAGAGGAAAATTCCAAGGGCATTCTGAGCATAATTTCATAGATTGTGAGAGAAAACGTGTGCGGAGCATAAATCCTTGGATTTTTTTAAAAATACTAAAAGAGGATTACAATTAAATCTGAAAATAACTCTTCAAAGGAATTCGGAAACTCAATTCAGGAGAGTTTGCCAAACAAATTTTGAGATGAAATCTAAGGAATTTGTGAGGAGAAATACCAATTCTTAGGAGCCTTTCAATGTGAGTAGAATTTCAAGTGCAGTGCGATTGAAAAGGAAATCCGAAATGAATAAAATTCCAAGGAAAACTAAAAGAAAATTGAATTCGGAGGATAACTTCATCAAAATTTTGAGGAATATTTCAATGGAAATCTCCATTGAATATGGAATGGACTATTCCGAGGTTTTCAGAACTACTTAAAAGTTCCCAATTTTTTTCTGAAGTTAATGAAACTGGCTTGAAGTTCTTTGTAGTTTGAGAAACTAGCCTGAGACTCCCTGAACTTTTGAGGAGTTCCTAAAGTTTCCTAATTTTCTTAATCTAAATGCTTAACAATTTGCTGAAGTTATCTAAGCTTCTTTAAAATTTATGTGACTTCTCTAATGTTAACGGAACTGCTCTGAGGTTCTCTGTTCTTTTCCGAAATTCTCAAAACTTCTCTAAAGTTTTTGCATTTCTCATGAAGCTTGTTATACTGC